ATAAAATGGACTTAAACCAACTTTATAAGGTTAGTCTAATAAGCCCTTCAATATGTTAAATTAGGTTTGTCATTTCATTAACTTTAAAAGTTAGTCTGAGGAATTTTCACTTAATTCTAACCAAATAAACATGAATCAATTATGGATTCTATATTTCAGCAGAAAACTTATAGAAAAACATGCATCCATCTTAAAATCTTACGATTGCTTTTTTTTTACGAGATAGATCTTCTAAGTAGTTATCTATTTTTCATAAGAGTTTTAGACAAAAAATCGACACCAATAGTATTAAGAAGTCCTGAAGTTGTTAGACGTTCTTCATTAGAAAACATTGCATGGGATACCGTTAACAAACACAAACGGCGCTATGTTTTTCCGACCAGTCCTACACACTTAACTTAATTACGATCTGATGAAAGATATTTAATAATTTGGTTAATGAAAATGACGTTAAGCGCGTTTGCGTTTCAATAATGGCGTGCAAGCAAAGCTAAAAATATATCTAGAGAGATAGAGAGAAAGTAAAAGGAATCCGAAGGGCAATAATGATTTTGTTTGTTTTTGTTGCCAAAATAAAATAAATAATACAGAAAAATAAAATAAAGAAAAAACGACGCGGAACAGAGAGAGAGAGAAGAAAAGGAAGGAGAAGAAGCAGAGGGGTCCATCCATTAAAACATTGCAGCATTTCTCGAATGGCGTTTTCTCCAATTACTCGACTTTAGATAGAGAAAGTGAAATTATAGAGAGATTTGAGAGTTTCATCGAGATGGATTCAAAGTCAGAAATTCTTCAATAGAGAGAGATAGAAAGAGAGATAGGGATGAGTTGTAGGAGAGTGCTGAAGTCGATACAAGCCTTGGCGGCTCATAGTTTACTCTTCTGTTTCACGCTCTTGTTGGCGCTTAAGCTTGATCACACCGTCTCTTGCTCATGGTGGTTAGTCTCTACCTCTCTCGAACTCATCTTCTTCTCCACGACGCTCCTGAGTCTCAATTCTCTGAAATTGGGTGCATGAATCAATTTCTTTTTGGTTTCTGATTGGTTCGATTTCAATTTTCATTTTGTACGCGATTCAAATTTTGCGGATTTGGATTGTAGACCCTTTTTTTGTTTTTGCCCCGTTGAATTTCGAAACGAGAGATATCGTCTCTCTCTCGAATAGAAATGGCAGGTTTTTCTCTACGGAAAGTCTCAGTTTTGTTTTGTTTATTTATTTTTTTTGTTCACAGTCGTAGTTTCTTTGAGATGATTGAAATAATCCATTTCCTTTCCTCTAAAACAATCTAGGATTCTCTTGTCTCTATTCGCCGTTAATAGTAAACAAAACAAAAAAGAGAAGCAATCACTTCAATAGTTTCTACTGAATAAAGTTGTTGCGGTTTTTGGGAACTGATGGTATGTATGCATTTTGTATCAAAGACAGTACATTTCGATCATTTTAGAGGTATGCGTCTACTAATGATTCAGTTTTATCTCAAGAAACCAAAAGGGTTTCCATTGAGGATTGCAACAGTTTTGATGCTGTCGATGAAGGGGTTCTGTCTAGGGATTCAGCTTTTTTCTCTATTTCCTTATTTTGTTACAAACTTGATAAACTGTTTTTTGGGGTTTATGTAGGATGGTATTTTTCCCGCTGTGGGCTTTTCATGCTGTTGTTGCAAGAGGAAGGTTCTCCCTTCCTGCTCCTGTTGCTCCGCGTAACCGTCATGTATGTCTTTCTCCACTTCTTACCTCTTTTAGCAAAAATATTACTCAAAGTCGTTTCTTCTGATGTTTTTTATTTCCAGTAAAATTGTACTGATAACACTACTGTCTGTTTATGATCCCGTTTTGTGTACAGTGGGCTCCATGCCACGCTGTTGTCGCGACACCGCTTCTTGTAGCATTCGAATTGCTCCTCTGTATATACCTTGAGAGTTCTTATGGTAAATAACCTCTTACTTCAGATGTCACACGTCCCGGGTTTGTTTCTGTGCTAGTTTTTCAAGCCTCCAGTGATATCTAGTTTCTTGGCATGGGAACATATTGATATATGTAGATACTTAAACAAAAGTTGATGGCTCTGAATCTCAAAGTTTCATCTTGCTCCCGTTTGATTTCGGAGAATATGTATGGTTAAGTTGGAGGATACCACAAAAGTAGTTTGATTCTGTATGAAGGATTGTGTTTGGTTTCGACCATTTCATCGGACTGTGACCTCTTTTATCTCATATGGCAGTTAGCTGGCCACCTGCTGTGAGCTTGAAGATTGCATCCTTACCGTTATTGGCGTTTGAAGTAACAATACTGATAGACAATTTGAGGTATTGAAACATTAAATGACTATATACTTTACTTATATAACTTCTCAAACAAAGACATTCCTTTTATGTGTTTTTTGAATACATACCAAACTGAATCATATAAATTGAAAGTTCCTAAATACTGCAATCTTTATCTTCAGAATGTGTCGAGCATTGATGCCAGGAGACGACGACAGCTTTAATGATGAAGCAATATGGGAGGCACTTCCTGTAAGTCCACGTGTGTTACGTAAATTATTTTAGCCTTGTTCATGGAGATTGGTTCAGCTGCTTTAGGCTTGTTGCTCTTTGATTTTGCACTTTGTTTTAGTATTTAGGTAAGATTATCTGCTACACATGAATGACAAACCCTCTCTAATTTTCCAATAACACAAATTTAGGACGGAGATTCTCAATTTCATGAACTGAGAAAGGAGAACCTTTAGATCAATTTCTGTAATCTTCCAGCTTCCACAAACACGGCCTTGTGGTTTCTTTGTAATAATTTGTTGATGGGCAGGGGAAGCTGGTCAGTACTCAAAATAAACATTTGGTTGCTTTTTCCTTGTTGCTTGCAGCATTTCTGGGTTGCTATTTCCATGGTGTTCACGTTGGCTGCTACATTCTTTACCCTTCTAAAGCTTTCTGGTAATATTTTGTATTACTTGATCTCTGTCTACTGAAATCCTATCTTCCACAGAATAGTTATTGATGAAGTTACTCTGCTCTATTCCTTCTTATCGGTCCCTCCTTGTTTTAAATGCACAGGCGATGTAGCTGCTCTCAGCTGGTGGGACTTATTTATAAATATTGGGTATAGTTCTTTTAAATAAATACTCGTCATTTTTGCGGTTGGTGGAAGTGATCATGTAATGTAATATATGTGAAAATGTTTTGCCTGCAGAATTGCCGAGTGCTTTGCTTTTCTTGTTTGTACAAAATGGTCCAACCCAGTGATCCATAGAAGCTCACGCGTCCGAGAAACGGGGTCATCGTCTACCACTATCAGATATCTTGACTGGAACAGTGGCCTCGTAGTTGCTTCAGAAGAGGATAGACACCAAGATAGATTGTGTGGCCTACAAGATATTGGTGGTCACATGTTGAAAATTCCCGTCATTGTATTTCAAGTTGTCCTTTGCATGCATCTAGAGGTAAACAACACATGTCTCTCTATCTTACCATATTGTCTTTGGACATTACTAAAAAAGCTGATGGTTTGGACTTTCAGGGGACTCCTGAAAGAGCTAAGGATATATCTATTCCAGTCCTGTTTTCTCCGCTATTCCTATTGCAAGGCCTCGGTGTTCTCTTTGCTGCATCTAAACTTATAGAGAAGATCGTCGTCTTACTGCGCGGGGAAGCTGGTCCAGGATTGTATTTTAGATTTTCGTCAAGAGCCCATGATTGCTTGGGTTTCTTGCACCATGGTTCCAGGTGACAAACACGTTTGTCTGTTTTTACCAAAAGAGCTTGATTTACAAAATCTTACACTAACAAAATTCAGTTGACTTGCTCAGGCTATTAGGTTGGTGGTCGATTGATGAAGGAAGCCGGGAGGAACAAGCTCGACTGTACATTGATCGAGAATCTGGGTTAGTTAGTATAATCCAACTTTCTATATGTTCTAACAAAATTTTTTATTGGAGTTGCTGAAGATTCATTATAATATGCTTGTGCAGTTACAATACCTTCAGTGGTCATCCGCCTGAGATAGTCAAGAAAATGCCAAAGGAAGATCTTGCTGAAGAGGTGACTTTACTTCTCGTTCTTGCATTTTGCTTTTCCAACTCAATGCTGATATTAACTTTAGGTTCTCTTTGTTGTCGAGTCTGGTGTCTTCTAGTTCCAGTATTGCTTAAGTGTTATTTGCATTCGAATTAATTTGGTGTGCTCTAGGTGTGGAGACTTCAAGCAGCTCTTGGTGAACAAACCGAAATCACAAAATTCAGCCAGCAGGAATATGAAAGACTGCAAAACGTAAAATTTCTCCTTCCTCCACGCGCCTGTATATGCATTATTGGCCATGATGGTTTTAACGTTTTCAGTATCCTCTATCGGTTTTGTTTTTTTTTTCTTTGGCTTAATCCTGTTTCAAATGTGTATCTACTCCAGGAGAAAGTGCTGTGTAGGGTTTGCTTTGAAAAAGAAATCAGTTTGGTACTGCTTCCATGTAGACACCGTGTTCTCTGCAGGTATGATACTTAGTCCACATTGAACTAGGCATTTATCACTCGTTTCGTCTGGAGTCACCATATAAAGAAACTAGGAAACTAGGAATCTATGAGGTCATATGGATATAATTGGATCTCATGCAGTCAATAGCTGACTCAATGTCATGATGTTCATATATTGTTTCTGTGCCATTTTTTGTTGTTGCAGAATGTGTTCAGAAAAGTGTAAAAAGTGTCCAATATGTCGTATAGCCATTGAAGAACGACTACCTGTATACGACGTTTGACTGTGTCTAACTTTGGCCCATGATCGAGAGTAGGATTTAAGGTTGATGATGCTCCAAACAATCATTCCTTTTTTGCCAAACTGTGTTCTCAAACTTTTGAGGTGTTTTTGCTGAATCTTTTTATTTGTCTGAATCAGCAGTAAGTATAAAATATAGGCCGTATACGTGTGCTTTTGTAGGAACCTCATACATACAATCTCTTACATACTTAAGATGTAACATACAAAGTTTGTATAATATCTGTCTCCCTTTTTGTATTTATCTCTACTTTTTTTTTTCTGTGGATAATTCAGTCTACTAAGTTCTGCTTCCATAAGTCCGTCCACGACTTGATTTACTTCTCACAGAAAGTGACACTGACATTTATAGAATACAGAAGAACATACCTGTAATATACACTTTTCTAAGCCAATCTCATGAACAAAAAACAATACAAACAAGACACCAGAAACTCCGTAAAAGCCTATTTTCCATAGTTCATAGTTGAGGTTTGGATGTTTCCATTTTCTTCTTCAGCTTCATCCCTTTCTTATGAACCTGCTGAGTCTGTGTCGGCTCCACTAGCAGCAACCGCGACATCACATAAGCCAGAAGCTCTTCGCGGTGAGAGAAGGTAAAATCCAAATGAGCATACTCAAACTCTCTGTAAGAAACATCAACCCCTGAATCTCTCATCACCCTGTAATGTTTCCTAACCATTGAAGATCTAATCACTTTATCTTTCTTTCCGGCTACTAAATCCACAGGGACATCGATCAGCCCGTAAAACTCTCCAAGATCAAGCGGCTCAGGAGACCCGTAAACCTCCATATTAGCTTGAATGCTACCATAATCAAACATTCTAAACTTACCGCAACGTTTTATCTGAGCAAGATGCAGAGCCACGCGGAAGGATGTAGCCGGCATATCGTTCATGTTATAGTGAGGCAAACCCATGACTCCAAGCCAGTTCGAGCTATCTCCACCAACTACATAGCTCATCAATGTTTGGACCAAGCCACCAACAGCAGGATAGTTATGGAAATCTCGAGCTAACTTGTTGAGAAGCATCCGGAAGAACCTAGTGGGGATGTAGAAAGCCGGAACAATCCGGCCTAGTACAGGACCCAAGAGAAGAAACGTGTGCTCTATTAACGTGAAACACAAGTTGGAGTCTTCATGAAACCCGGCAGGCGAAAGCAGGATCAGTCTTGAGAGTCTGTGCGGTTTCTCTTCGACTTTACGAGTGATTACATACATCAGAACCGCAGCCCCGCCTAGACTGTGAGAGAGAACGCATAGCTTATAAGGTTGCTCCTCGTTTACCGCCTCTTCGATATTAGGCTGGTAGAGTTTCAGTTCTGAAGTTTTGATGTCGTGAATCTTCTCTATCATTGCGGGGATATCCTCTGTTGCATGCTCATTAACGGAGTAACTCCAGAAACTGCATGTTTCAAGGATCCGTCAATAAAGAATTATACAAGAAATCAGATTCATAAAGAAGAAGTTTACTCTATACAACTCACTCTTTTGAGGAAATGTTTTTGTTCACATGATCTCTTGATACTAAACCGCGGAAATTCCCTAGGTAAACATCGTAGCCTGAGAAGAAAAAAACAGAGAAACATTTGGTATATTTATCACAAAGCGCCTTGAGAGATAGGGGTTTATTTGGCGCGGACCTTGATCATAAGCAGCAAAAGCCGGAGATCCAACAACCCCATTTGATACCCATCTGAAGATAAAGGAACAGATGAGATATAGAGGCAACATTTTTCGTGACAGATCATCGAAAAGAGACTGAAACTCACCCCATTGAAGAATCCAAAACACCATGCTGCAAGAAAACAGCTTTCCTTGCATCTCGTCTGGAAAAGCCATAAAAAGAAATTACTGATTACATCTTGAAGGAACTTACTAAAACCATAATAGACTTTATACCTCGGTATCCTTTCCAGAAGAAGACCATATCCATCAGATGTAACAACACGAATAGCTTCATATGGATACCTATCAAGATTAAGTGAGAAGTTCTTATTCAAATGGAAAATAGTTAAGAGTAACAGAAGAAGTGGAAAACAACGAAGTATGAAGCATCCTCTACGCATTTTCCCCTACCCAAGCTCTGTTATGACATCTTGACAAGTTCGAGTATCTGTATTGTATAAGCTCGTCGTGGTTCTTTCTTTGGGAGATGGATCGTTATCTCCTAGTGTGGCAGTCTGCGCGGTTTCATCATCCAAAACGTAATCGTAGTTTCTTTTGATACTGTGACTGTGACTAGAGTAAGACAACCATGATAGAAATATTCCAAAAGCCTCCGATGGAGAAAGAAGAAGATGCGCCGCCTTGTGAAAAAAATCAAATATTGCTTCTATAAAGATCTCGATACCAAGCTGAAGATCCTGCCAATAATAGAACATACAAGTGTCTGAGGAAAAAAATTCAAGAACGCAACAAAAAGTGGTAAAGTAGTAGTATGTTTCATCCACACAAACCTCAATGACACCACGTCTTCTATCAGTAGTTCGGTTAGGGACATCATGCTCTTTCCCTGGGCCAGCTTTGCTAAAATAAGGTCTAGAAGAATATCTGTACCTTCCAGGGCTCATAGGCGACACTCTTGAGTTTCGTCTACCAAATAGACCTAAGAGATATAACGGTACCCATAGAAGGATCCGGGCGGGTAGTAAAACCCACCAGACTATGGACGTGATCCATTCTGTCCAATGGCTTTCGTAGTTTGCAGGAAGACTGGCCCAAGAGCGGAGCGAGCTTTGAGACAACGGTGATGGAGGCGTCGACATGCCATCATCACTATCTTCTCCAGAGGAATAATCCAAGCTTGAAGTGTCAGAATCCACAGAGAGTTCGTGAATGAATTGGTTAAAAGAAGAGACTCCACTGCAAAAGAGAGAGTCGAATCAGCATTACATTACTGTTACTAGGGAAGCAAAAGAAGTCAAGAGATTTATACTTATGCATCCAACGTGGTAAACGAGGTCCACGTAATGTAGGCCTTAGTTCCCATCCATGAAGACCTTCAAGAACATTGGCCTTTCCAGGAAGAAGAGTCAAGAGAAGTGCAGAAACTCCATTTATGCATCTTGCAATGTTGTTCAAGGACTCGTAAGTCAAAGTTTTCACTGACCTGCACTAAAACCCAAAATTTATAGTTAGCTTAGCCTTTTTCATTACAACTACATAAGCCTCCTACAACGAACCAACACCAAAATCAAACGGACAAGTTCTTGATAAAGGAAACTTAAAAAAACGTCACTGTAGTTAATATATAGGATTGAGTGAACTTACTTTATATATAATAACCAAATCATTAACTATTAACCACATAAATCTCAAGAATAATGTAAAATCAGATAAACTACTGGGCTCAACAGTGGCATGATCCATTTCCAAAATCAAATCCACGCCACCATATTTTACATCCGAGAACTAAATTAAATCAGAGATCACAAGAACCATAAAACATGCAGTGAGGAATGGAACACAGAGAGGAACTCACTCTTTTGTGACAGCGAGAGCGTTGTCGACGATCCTCTGCATGATTTAGTTACCCAGAAGAAACCAAAAAAAAAACAACTCGAAGAAATAATAAATTTTCCAGAAAAAAAAAAAACGACTGCTGGAAAACAAAATGAAAATCGGGAGAGAAATAAAGATTTCCTCTTCTTGCTGCTGTGGCCCGAAAACAAACACAGAGAAAAAATAAAAGACGAAAATGTTGACCCACAAATTCAAAATACGCAATCAAACAAAAAAAACAAAATAGTGTATTGTGGATTGAATCGGATAAACAAATTAGGGCACGTCGGCGATTCCTGCCGTCCATATTCCACAAGAAGGTCGGTATTTTAGAAGAGAGACGTGACAGAGAGTGACACGTGGATGTACATTATTGGATGACTAAGAATGTGTCATCTATTGGATTATGCATGCGCATCTGAAGACATGACACGTAAGTCTGTAGTGGCGGAGAAGTTACGCCTTTTTGTCTTTTTATTTCTGACATTAATTAATAAACTCGTGACTTACGAATATCAATCACATTAAAAAAAGACGGGGATTTGCTATCGTCAAAGTCATTAGCAATTTGAGTAACACGATAAAGCAGGTTTAGATTTAGCTGAATCCAGATTAATTTAACTCCCAACAAAAGGTAATGCAAAATAGTCAGAACAACCATGAAATTAACACATTAGTTTTCAAGTTTTTGTCTTCTCAGAATCTGAAGCTGCTTTTAAGGGCACTTTCTCTGAATGTAAGAAGCGCCATGTTCCTCGTACCTATCATCCACATACCAAAGCTCATTTGTCAGCAGAGAAACTAAAAACAGTCTTCTTTGCTGATTAATGAATGGAAAATAAGCAAAACAGAGAAAGACTTACTCAGATTTGGAGAACCACATCTGTTGAAATGAACCTAGTGATGCCAATATACTCCCTCCTATCCATACACTGCGCACATATATATAACACCACATTCGCGGCTTTAAATTACTCAAATCACAATTACCAAAATCTCAAGAGATGAGATTCGCAGTAAGGATCAATCAGTGATTTGGGAACTCTTTCAGATAGATGTATAGGAAGAAGTGAGCTAGATGATATCCAACCTGAATCGTCTTTCTGTTGTGTTACCGCTTGCCAACACTTTAACTCGAGCCGAGTGAGGAGACTCCTGAAACGAAAGATAGAGGAGGATGAACGATTTTCTCACCATCTTCAAAAAACAAGGAAAGATTACAAGCGAGATAGGGGACACTGTACCTCTATCAAATCCTTTTCGAGACGCTCTTTCAGCTGTTGCATGGACGATGTGCCACCAGCAAGCTGGCATAACACGAGAAGAAAAAGTAATCAATATCATCCACGTCCAAGAAAACGAAAGGGGTTGTTGATACATAGTTTACCAATTTAACTAAGGATTTAAGAGTGGAAGTTGACTGTTATTTTACCAGTATGCTACTATACAACTCTCTCCTGATATCTACATCACATTTGTTGATGCTCTCCATGACCTGTACAAGTTGATAAAAAAGGAGAGTTGGAGTTGGACAAAGTAAAGAGATGAAAGCTCTACAGTTACTAAAGACTATGCATATACCATCTGTGGCAACCCACGAACAGAAGGAATCATGTCTGCATACTTCTCCATTCCTGGAATTGTCTGGCAGATTCCAAATAAATACAGAGAGTCACTTATATAATCTTTGACAAACAATTTGAGGCGAGACGAAGCTCAAAACAGCTCAAGAGAAGAAACATAATGTCTTCAGAAGACACAATCCATAGCTTAAATGCTGCCGTGTATTGTACCTGAACTATGGACGGGTTGAACATCACATCAGGAACTTTAAACCTATCAGCACCAATCTCGAGTGTCCTGCAGTAGACATGCTTAATGAGATATCGCGACTAAGAAAAGCAATGGGTTCAGGTTCCTATCTACAACGCAGTAACAATTTTTATTTATCTATCATAATTCTCAATTATCACATTAGATTCAGATTCCATGCAGGTTTCTAAAAGCAATGTCTGGCTCTTCTAAACTTTTATTCCAATGGCTTTCACGACATAGATCTAACTAAGGACTTAATTTCAAATTTTACAAGGTTCGAAATAGTGGTAAATTTTCTCTAGAAACCGACCACAAACCTTATCCATGGAAAGAAAAAGCAATTATAGCATGTACATTTAAGGCACCAAAAAAAAAAAAAAAAAAAACCGAAATAGACATATAAACTGGAGCTTACTGGCCATCAGGAAGCTCGTACGACGAAGTTGGGATGTTTGAATATGATTTGTCTGCAGATAAAGCATCACATCAGGAAAACTAAGGCTACATGGTTATAAAAAGCCTAACATTAATCCTCAAACCACTATAAATTTCGAAGAAAAACAATTTATCAAACCAGTGAAAGATAGAAGAACATAAGATACCGTCATAGGGAGTGTCAGGAACCCGACAAATAGAATCCTTGATATCACCCACTATCATCCTCTGGTGAGAAAAAAGATCACCAAAGTTATAAACCTACAGAACTTTTCAAACGAGGTGTTATTATCAGTTACACACCTGGCAGAAGAGCTTGTAGCTTTCCGTGGTGTCAGGAAGACCTACATCTTCAACCTGCAAGGTTTCGAAGGGAGGAAATAAGAGACTATTACACGATAACAAAAAAACTCTTAAAGTAATTTGCTAGCTTCAAGCTATTCTAATTGAATTGAGACAAATTCTACATTTGCTCTGTCTCGCTTACTCTCTTAATAAATAAATTATACTAAAATAGTAGTTTCATCCAATGATTCACATATGCACCTGGAATTCCCCTGGTCGGACTTCCTTTCTCTTGAAAGAGTATCTAGGTCTTATCTGCCAAAAAAGAAATGACCAGCAAAACTCAGGTAATTGGCTCAAAAGACAGTGAACAGTATAAAAATAGTTTAACTTACTTTAATTCCTTTACTCTCCAAGCTTTTCAGTAAGCAGTCAGTGAGAAACTCCCCTCCAATTGGAGCTGATACAACCGCCTGCGAATAAAAGCATTGTCAACAATCGGAGAACAAGAAATCAGTATTCAAACTACATCAATTATGTAAAGTAAAATTAGTCAACATGGATGAGAATTTATATTAGCTACAGATGACACTTGAACCGAAAGATGGAAAGCTTTCTCTTGCAGCAGAAAACCTAAACCCAAAGAAACAGCATCACAAAGCTTGAATTCTTATCAAATCAAGTAGTACATATACCTTTTGAAGGACATAACCATCATGCACCGGTGCAATAGTTGTGGATCCTCCACCGCTGGAACACAATACAGTATAAAAAAAAGTGCCATCAGTGCCTTTCAGATTAATCACATCAAACAGAAACTTTCACAGCATATAGGGCAGAAGTGGAACGTTAGTTGCTTCCACATACTAGAGAAAAAGGTTAATAATTTTGAAAGTACAAAAGTCTTACCAGTCAACAACCAATGAAGTAGCACGCCCAGTAGCAAAAGACGTGAGAACCTAGCACCAAAAAACGTCAAAGTCATGTAGATAGTTAGACATCTGATTTCACAAGAGCGGGCAGGAGACCAATGACCCAAGGTAGAGGGAGGATACAGGATTCTTAGCCATAAACAATGCTGGAACTTTGTATTTTTCAAACATTAGCTCTGCCGCCCTGTCAAGCATATGATTTGAAGAAATCAGAAACACAACTAAAATATGAATCAATATAGAAAAAAGGGATATCTATAAGCAGATGAGTCGGACTTCTCTCTCTGCTGTTGAGTGTTTAAAGGAGGCTCAGCTAGCAGCATGGGGTGCTCCTTAGGATCAATCATCAGACAACTCCTTCAGACATAAATAATGTTTTAGAGATGACATCAGACAACTATTAAGAGAATAACTAATGCTTAATACGGTTACCTGAAAGCATGTTCCCATATATTGTCCACCAAATCCCAATCAGAAACAATGCCATCTTTGATGGGTGACAATATCTGGTGACAGAAAATGCAATATGTAGTCCACTGACCAATTAACAACTTTAACACTCATCAAAGAGGAAAAGCTAACCTCCATATGATCGCGGCGGTAACTCAAGGCTTGAGATCCTACATAGAGCTTGCGTTTTCCTTTTTCCTTTTCAGGCTCGTTGGTCTTTGAATCCTCGGAATTTGAATTTGTCTTTGTAGAAGAATCAACATCCACATCCATTGCCTCTATTCCATCTACTGCCCCAACAACCTTATGAACACATCAGAAAACAAACCCTGAGAGTAATTCATATGTCTGAACTCTGAAGATACGAAGGACTGAACGCAAATCTACACTAAAACCGTGAAGCTTATACAAGCTCCGGGGACATGGTAGAACCTAGACAACGAGAAGCACCAAAAGGAGTTTTCAAGAGTAGAAAGAAGTGAGCTTACGGAAGGGAAAACGGCTTTGGGAGCATCTTCGCCGGCGTAACCAGCCTTGCAAGTGTGCGAACCCAAGTCAACCACTATAGCTGACACTTCATCTGTGGAAACAAACCCACCACGGAGGAAAAATCAAACTTGAACGAGAATATCCCCAAGGAGACGAAAAGAGCATGAACGAGAAAAGCAATTCAAGGGTTCGTAAAGAAACCTACCTCCGCCGTACATGGCTGCCGGAGAGCTCGTCGGAGGGTTTAAACACGGGACGGGGTTGGGTTCTCTACAATCTCGGGGTTAACCGATACAGGTCGAATCGATTACTGAGCTCGATTTTTGTCTAGAGTAGAGAAAGGCTCGAATCCGCTCACTGAATAAATATTATAAAAAGTGAATTTTTTAAAAAGAAACCCAATTTCTGCGTCTCAAAATTGAGAATTTTCTCTTAGATGTAAAAAATTTAAAATTTAAGCACGCCATGCCTTCAAAGTTGAATAAGACAATGGATTAAATCTTGAATAACTAAACTTTATTAAAATCAAGAGCAATTAATTATACTCTGGGTTTCTTCTGATATATTACAATTTACTCAAAGGGAAAAAGAATGGAACCAAAAATATTTAATAATGAATCAGCCTGAAAAATCTGCGTTTCTTCGTATGTGATGAAACAATCTCTCTCTTTTTAACTGAGCGGCTCCATAGATTTCCGAGTGTTGACAAAGGTTGCACTTTTGTTGAACCCTTCAAGCAACATAATCCTTATTGCCTCTAACCCGGTTTGAAATGTATAATCCAACTGCAAAATCAGAAACAATCAAAGCTTTTATCTTTCTGAAAAAAAGTTGATAAATTGTTGGGATTTGTCTTCTTATACCTCTTCCTGTTCTTGTT